CATGTTCATCACAGCATTATTCACAATAGCAAAGAAATGGAAACAACCTAAGTGCCATCAACCAAGATATGGATAACTAAACTGTGGTACATACACACAATGAAATATTATGCAACCCTAAAGTATAATGTAGAATCTGCAAAACACCACATAACATGGATGAACTTGGAGGACATTATACTGAGTGAAAAAAGTCAATCACAGAAGTGCAATTACTGTATTAGTCTACTACTGTAGGAAGTCAAAGAAGGGTTTATACATGGAAAAACCTTTCTTTGTAAGTTATAGGGATTGGGGAGGACTGGAGGGAAAATTTCTAGAGAGGTTGGGGGGGGGAATATATATATATATACACATATACACACACATACACACAACAAATATACACATATACAGATACACACACATAGATATGTATATGTGTACATGTATATGTGCACATATATATGTATATGTATAAAATCAAAGGTTATTAGTGGTTACTGGTTACCAGGGGTAGGAGGGAGTGGGAAAGCGGTACCTTTGTTTGAGGGACATTGAGCTTATTCTAATGGTTACGGAATACTTTGGAAAAGGAAAACAATTATGGTGGCACAACATCAAATGTCATAAAAGTCTCTGAGCTGCAAATGTTAAGTTTTTATGTTGGCAAATGTCTTGTTGTGTACGTTTTTACCACAATAAAAGCAGAAAAATAAAGAAAATGCACTTTAATATGTTTGTGAGTTTGCCTAAACTCATCCCAAGAAATTTAGCACTGTGCATACTGCTTCTACTAGCTACACTCCATGTTTCCTCATTGAGGAATCTCTTGAAACAAAGATAAACTCACTTGAAAAAAGGAACAGACGGCTACCTTATATTTGGGGGAGGGATTTTTTAAGAGAGAATTTTTGACAATTTGAAGACGTATAGCAAGCTGAGAAGACTGATTTTTTGGGGGAGGAATTTCATTTAATCATTTCCCTATAATGTATCACTTTAACTACTAGTGACATAATTTTTTTAAAATTCTATAAATTATACATCGTAATGGTGACATGATATCTCCATTATACACTTAATGATGAAAAGGACTACTTGCTAAAGAGTTCCAATAAGTGCAGGGAAACCAACCAAAATAGCTTTACAACAAAAGTAAAATTAGATGGACGTCCCTTCCTCTCTACTCCCTCACCCTTACTGTTGTTGTGTTGTTGTTGTTATTTGCCGTGGAGTCAGGCCCAACTCATAGCGACCCCTCCTTGGGTTTCCGAGGCAGTATCACTACGGAAGTAGATTGCCCCATCTTCCTTCTGAGGAGTGGCTGGTGGGTTTGAACCACCAGCCTTCTGGTTAGCAGTCAAGTGCCTTAGGCACTATGCTACCAGCGCTCCCTCACCCTTACTAGTATAAATACATTAAAAACTTTTGTTGGGATATAACCGAGACATAGTTTTATAAGCATGGCTACAACATGAATGCCAGGTATTACAATGTCTTCTTTAAAGGAGATTAATATTAAATATTTACAGTAGTCATATTTCTGGTTATATTGTTATTCTAAGATTGTTATGTATGTGCTATAGTATAAAGCAGATGAGTAATTACATTAATGTCTTTGGGATCTGTGATTGGCAGCATGGTCGATAGAAGAAAAAGATGTAAGACAGATGAGGTAAAATAGAAACCTGGTCTTGAATTTGAATTGGAAATATCAGTCTAAACTCACAAAGATTTCATCTCTAAAGAGTATAAACAGCATACATTGTTTACAGACTAGTTCTGTCCACTGAAGAGGCAAAGGAACAAAGACTAACAAAGAATCAATGGGTACCCAGAGTGCCAAGATTATAGACCCTTAAATATCTTCTCCTACTATACGAAGTCAAGGTTCATTAGATAAAATATCTGAATCCAGATCTGGCTCAGGATATATACAAGAGCCAGAAACATCTTATAATACCAAGAAACAAAGAAACTATCAGACTACTGAGGGCATATCAAAGGACTCAAAAGTCAATTTGAAGGGATTCCCACAGGCCAAAATAGGATAATTTGAACATCAATAGGGATAATAATGTAATAAATTAAAACAGTTCAAATATGTTTCAAATTTAAGTTACCGTGACAATAATAATAATAATAATAATAATAATAAACTTACTGGTCACCTTTAAAGGATGCTAGGGAATCAATTCATGAAAACTTGTTTAAAAAGAAAGGATCAGCACTGTATTATCCCTCATGGTAAACAGATGGTTAACAAGGGTACGTTTCATTTTAGGAAGTATTTCAGCTAATAAATAACAAGAAAATGATAAAATATCACCATTTTGCAACCTATGATGTCTTCTTGGATCTAGTGCTCTAAACCAAAACCAAATTCACTGCCATCAAGTTGATTCTGACTCCTAACAACCCCCATTGGGTTTACAAGGCTGTAAATCTTTATGAAAGCTGACTGCCTCCTCTTTCTTCCGAGGAGCCTTATCTTTTACAAATATATGCTGACATATTTACAGATGAGATGACATGATGTCTGTAATTTGCTTCAAAATAATTGAAGGGAAAGGAGAAAGTGGTCAGGAAATGAAACAGGAGTAGTTAATGACCACTCAAGATGAGTGACAGATACACAGAGATTCGTTATACCATTATTCTCTATCCTTTATACATTTGAGATTTTTCTTTACAAAAAGTTGAAAAATAGTCGTTTGAAATTTGGCAATGAATGTCAGATCACTATAGAAAATCCTTAGACAGTAAAGTCTGTACACCTAAAGTAAGGATATAGATTTAAACCACAGTAGAAATAGAAGCCTTTGAGGTCATGTTGGTCAACCTTTGTGAGTCAATAAAACTCTACTTACACTATCCAATTCCACCAATTTTTAAAATACTAGCACAGTCATCTCTTGTCTGGTTGCAATACTCAGTGAAGCAACAGATTATACCACAATTAGAAAGGAAGACAGTGCAGACGACAGCAAGAAAGCATCATAGCAAAATACATAAAATTATTTTGGTTTAATTTTTTCCTAATTTTATTTTGGTGACTGTACCCATTGAATAAAGAACTGTCGTAGTATAATAGTTAAGCACTCAGCTGCTAACTGAAAGTAAGATGGTTCAAATCCACCAGAACTCTGTGAGAGAAAAGACCCGGCAATCTGCTCCCATAAACATTACAGCCTAGTAAACCTATGGGGAAGTTCTACTCAGTCACATGAGTAGGTATAAATTGGAACTGACTCAAAAGCACACAACAACAAAAACAACCCATTGAATGATATCAGCCAATTAATTCTAAAAAGCAAGCTTTTTTATCCCCAATATACAAATAACTTTCCTCATCACAGACAATAGGAAAATGATCCTCCCCCAAAGCTATTCTTTCCCAGTTCTTATTGAACAAACCACACATTTGAGACAGTGTCTCACTGTAAACTCATAGCAATGGCCAAACACATAGAACAAACGGGAGGCGAAGTTCTTTTCTGATAGCCCGAAAAGATGCTAGGGCTTATGGTTATGACTTGGGGGTACCCTGGGGGCTAACTATGACTAATGAAAAAACAAATCTATCTAATTGCATTGCTCTAGGCTAGTGAGAAACGAGAAATTTGCAAAGCCCCTTGAGAACTGTCATATTTACATAGGATGGTGCTACATAGAGAGCATTTCTTTGGAGCACCATACCTACTCCTTTTATCTCACTGCTTATGCCCTATTGATTCTAATCTAACCTTTGGGATTCTTCTTGCTAACTCTAACAGTAGAATAGTAGAAATGGCTATTTCTATCTTGCATTTCACATGAAGATGTACATTGTTGATGCTCAAAAGAAGAAAATGCTAAATTCAAATTAGTCCAAGATGACAATAGGAGAGTCTGTCCACATAAGATTTTTAAATAATTATCAGCATTAAAATTATATCAGCGATATCAGGAGCTGTGCCCCCCCCAAACACACAGCCAATCATACATCCCAGTTTAGATTAGATTTAATATTAAATAGTTAAAGACATATATTCTGAGAAAATCAGGGTGTTAATATGGGAATTACAGCCAATGCTCAATTTACCCATGGTATTGCACAGATAAGCATAATTTAATACTTTAGTCATTGGTTTCAATATGTCCCTCTAGCAATTCTTTATCAGAGCTAGATATATTAACTAACATTGACTGATTTTTAATTCCACTCCTCCCCCTCATCCTGCTTGCTTTCTTAAAGAGGAAGAAAAAAAAATTGGTAGGAAATAGAGTTAAAGGGATATGAAGGGGATGAAAAGAGAGGAGGGAGGAGAAGTAGGGGAAGGGGAAGAATAAGGCAAGCAGCTCGGAAGAAAAGGAGCTTACAAAATGCTGCAGAAGAAATAGATGCAGTGAAAAAATGCAAACCAGTGTTTGGATAATTGCATAAATAGTATTTTTACTTTGTTTCTCTTCAAGAATCCAACTATTAAAGATTTTAAGTGAGGTATTGTTTTAATATGGTATTCTGCTTAATATTTTAGAAAACAAGTTATGGTGCTCAAGATCACAGGGCCTATTTGCATGTGAGTAACTATGCAACCTTATTAGGGAACCTTTAGGCTGTTCTGTTTGTGGCCTCAGGTAAAATTAAACCACAATTTCCCAAGGAGTTTAGGTCATGCATCATCCTAAAGTTCTGTTACATTTCTGTGTTTTGAAACAGTAACATATAGGATTCCTTTTTCAACTAAAATCCAATTCAATCAATACCAAACTAAGCTAAATAAGAAAAGATCTAAAGATATCTTGGGGAAGCAGCCAGCGTTTTTGAAGCATCAATCCTATCAAAAGAGAAAGAGAACAGAAGGTAGCGTAGGTGGACTAAATGAGGCCTAGCTGCTGCCTCATCAAGTAATCAAAAGAGTCAAAAACATATAGCAATCAATTTGAAAAGTTACCCTGTTCATTTGATAGCTGGCAAAAGGAGTCCACAATGATTTAGCATAAAAGACAAGAAGGTTGCTTCAAAGAGGACTTACCTGTCTTTCCCAGTTTCCTTCTTAAAAACTCCGTCACAGTAGCTCATGCGCTTCTCTGTGGTCACATAAATTTGAGCATTTGGATAGATGTCAACTGTCTTTTTCAACATATTGTAAACAATGCCATTGCCATCTTTCCTCATATTACGGAAAGGGCCCCAAATAACATAAATAGTAGTGTTTGCTTCCTTGAAAAAATAATCAGGGTTTTTTAGCAAAAGGGGAACACTGGTATGGGACACAATGCGAATCATTGTCATGTGCCCAACATCTTCTTCATAGCCCTTGGTGGGAGCGTTGTTCATTCTCCAAATGCAGGAAGAGCGATCTATCTCATTCCCTACTTTCTGGCCAACCATCTGACCCGAGTTTGACACTATGGCACAAAGGTCACAGTCCAGTTGCAAAGGCTGAAAAACAGAAAGAGAAAGAAGGCAAGGGGAGAAATATGTAAATTAGTACGTTCCAGCTATTCAATCAAAGGAGCTATGATGGTGCAGAGGTTAAGGGGCTTGGCTGCTAGCTAAAAGGTCAGCAGTGTGAACCCACCAGCTGCTCTGTGAGAAACTTGTTTCTATAAAGAGTTACAGCTTTGGAAACCATATGGAGCAGTTTGACTCTGTCCTATAGGATTGCTGAGTCAGCATCAACTCAACAGCAGTGTGCTTTATTCAAACACGTTTTTACAGAAAAAAAAAAAAAACTTTAGATATTATATGTAATGCTGAGTATGCAAATAGCTCTGAAAACTATATACAGTCTTACAGTCACTGTCATGGGTTATCAAGCTAGAGGCATGCTTCCATTTAAAAAGTAAATATATATTGTTCAAAATCATTTTAATTTCTATTCTCATTCGTTTAAATCAAATGAAAAATAGTCATTTTTTACTCAAAACTAATTTCAAATGAAAAGAGAAAATATGGATTTTTACCTCTTTCATAAGAACCATGGCTTAAAATGAATAATAGCAAAAGGAACATATACAGGCATAATTTCTCCATTTTACTTATATCTGTGAATGGTTATGCAGTAGTTGATTAAAATATGAAGGCTTCAGCAAATAATGAGGTATCTTTTCAGAATCCAGTACTACTTAAGTCCCAGTCTAGCAAAATATTACAGAGACCCTTTAAAAATTCTCGAGTTACCATATTAACTGGCCTTTGTGCCTATGTTTGATATGGATAGATTTAAAAAAAAAAAAAAAAACCAACCCACTGATGTTGAGTCAATTCTGACTCATAGCAAGGGTGCCCCGTATAGTTTCTAAGTCTATAAATCTTCATGCAAGCAGACTGCCACATCTTTTCCCACAGAGCAGCTGGTGGATTCAAACCACTGACCTTTCAGTTAGAAGCTGAGCACGTAAAAATTTAGCCACCAGGCCTCCTTAGGATAAGGAGGAAAGTCCTGTTTTAAGAACCCAGAGAAGGCAGGTACGTAGACAGTCTCTAGAGCTAGTCTAGTGTACCACCTTCCTTTTAGCAACCAGTGTGGTAATGGAGATCCACAGAGGTCAAGCATCAGCTCTCAGTACCTGCAGATGATACTGTTGTGGTAGTATACTCAAATCTAGATCTTCTAACTCTAAGGCCACTGCTCATGCCACTAATCCCTGCTTTCTCTCTTCCTAAGCAAACCAAATAAATTGCTTTTGCTCCTTGCCTCCCACATGAAGAAAAGTCATTCTATCTTCTACAGCAGTGATAAAAGAAGCAATGTGGTTTGTTGATATACATCTTTCTCATCTCCCTTCTGAGAGTCTGCATTTTTATATAATATTTGATCCTGGATTTTTGTTGTACTTATTGGTTAGTGGTCCCTCTCATAGCAGGTACTGTCATTTTACTTTTTGTGTTGTGCTTTAATTTATTGTTCAGTGATACCTATTCACCAGCCAGTAAATTCTCTAAGAGCAATGTCTGTCTTCTTGATTTTATTCCTATTCCCCAGTAGTGCTTGGCATAGTGGAGGGACTCAATATATAATGGTGAAGTTAGGAGATGAAAGGAATTGAATTACTTATGAGTAGCTTGAGCATTTAACCTAATATTAGGGCAGAAAGTGACTCTTTCAATTCATTTGGAATTGATGACTTAGATGAAGAGAGAAAAGCAACCCAGAAATAACCACTATAAAGCAACTTATAAACAGATGCAATCTAGGTGTCACAATGTAGGTGTAAATTAGGAAGTAAAGGGCCTCAGAAAGGTCATTGAGATACACATCACATACACTTAACAAACCTTCTTTAGTAGTGATAGCTTGTATTCAAAGTAGTTATTAAAACTGCTATGGGCCAGGCACTATTCTAGGTGTTGGGGACTAAAAAATAAAAACGAAAATCCTGGCCTGGCAGGAAAAGGCAATCAACAAATCAACAGAATATCTAGTATGTTAGATGGTGGTGATAAGGACTAAATAGAGCCAATTAAAGCAGGGAAGGAGGTAGGAATATGTGCGTGTGCTTATGTGTGCATGAGTGGAGTGCTTAGGAAAGGCCTCTCTGAGAAACTGATACTTGAGGAAAGACTTGAATGAAGTGCAAGGGCTGGCAATGTGGACATGGGGGGGTGGTAATTCCTGGCAGAGGAAAAGCAAACAAAGAGCAATGTGGAAAGTGAGCAGGCAATGAGGCCAGAGAGAAGGTAACAAAGCCATCATTTAAGGCCTTTTTACTCTGAGTGAGAGGGGGAGCTGTAAGAGGGTTCTGAGGACAGGGAAGACTGAGGTGATTTATATTTTAACAGTTTTGGGTGCTGTGTCAGTGGAAAACTGATACAGGAGGCAAGGGTAGAAACACGGTGAGGAGACTACTGCCATATTACTGGCAAGTGAGGATGGTGGCTTGGACCTAGTTGAGTAGCAGTAGATGTAGGGAGAAGTTGATGATTCTTGATATATTCTGAAGGTACAGTCTCCTGGATTGGCTGGTGGATTGAATGTGAAACATGAAAGAAGAGAGGAGTCAAAGAGAACTGCAGATTTTTAGTGTTAAGTAATCGGAGGGCTGGAGTTGCCTTTAACTGAAAAGGAGAAGGCATCAGGAGGAGCAAGATCAGGAGTTCTTTTCCAGACCTATTAAATTTGAGAAGGAGCTCTGGTAGCTTAGTGCCTAAGGCACCTGACTGCTAACCAGAAGGCTGACGGTTCAAACCCACCAGCCACTCCTTGGAAGGAAGGTTGGGCAATCTACTTCCGTAGTGATACCACCTCAGAAACCCACAGAGGGGTCACTATGAGTCGGGTCCAACTTGATGGCACATAATAACAACAACAAATAAATTTGAGATGCCTTGAACACACTGCTGCATAGAATTTTATAATGAAATTCCTAATTTGCTTTAAAGCCCCCCCCCCTTTTTATGATTATAGAAGTAACATGAGCTCATTTTTTGGGAATAAAAAGAATAGATAAAAGAATAAAAAATTTTCCACATTCCTACCAATGCAAATACTTTGTTGTATTTTTCTCCTCTTCACATTTTAAACAGGTTGAGAACATGTCACTTATATAATTTGGCAGCCTTCATTTTTGGTTTAAGTAAATATCATTAACCTCTTCTCATGACAATAAATACTCCCTGGATGTATTTTTGTTTTTCTTTATTGTGATTTAGGTGAAAGTTTACAAAGCAAATTCATTTTCCATACAGCAGTTCATACACATTTTTTCTCATGACATTGACTGCAATTCCCCACAATGTAAAAGCTTTTTTCCCACTTCCTCCCCATAGTTAGCTCTTCCTTGTGTCCTTCCCTCCCACGCACTCATGTCACCTGAGCTGTCTCCTTAAGTATACACTGCCCTTCTGTTCTCCCATGATTGATCGCTCCAAGGAGTGTATATACCTGATGGAAATCCCATATGCCTGTCTATTATTTGGCTGGAAGCCACAGGAATGAGTTCAATTCTAGACCTGAAGGGTAGCTAGGAGCCATAGTCTCAGGGGTCTCACCAGGGTCTCTCAGACCAGCAAACCTGGTCTTTTTTATGATTTTGAGTTTTGTTCCACATTGTTCTCCCACTCTATCCAGGATCTCCTACACAGCTCCCCCTCTGAGTGGTTGACAGTGGTAGCTGGGCACCATCTAGTTCTTCTGGTCTCATGCCTAGACATATGTTTAATATTTGTGCAGTACTCCTTTAAATGGTTATTCTATAAGGTACCTATTTGTCTACTTTTGAACATTTAACTATTATCTTATTTTTCTATCATAAAAAGGTACTTCTATGAACAATATTGTATTATGGATGCTAATGGTAATGAATGCTTTTTTGGTAAAGATTAAGTTAATTCAAATTTACTTCTTTGATTCAGTTTTTATTGTGCATTTGCAGTAAAACTGACTGACAAAAAGCCAAAAATACTCCACTTGCAGAGCCAATGATGATCCTCTTATCATCCCTGCCACAGAAAAGCTTCTGAACTAAGGTGGGCAGGAGGTGGTTTGGGTACCAGGTTAAAATAGGTCTGCTCAAGGTTGGTGAGTATATTAGAGCACTTGGAACTAGGGTTTTGTAGGTTGGTTCCACAGTGAAGATTTTACCAGTGGTCAAATGGAGGTACAAAGGGATGCCTCTTGGGATCAGCATTGACCTAAGACTCTTCCCCTCCCATCTACAAGGGTTGGTAAGAAAGAACCAGAGCTTAAAACCAGAACTTCCCAGTTCAGACATGGCTGACACAGCAAAATTGGAACAGACCCAGATTTGTAAAATGTGAGTGTACTGGAATGATAACCGGAATGGGAAAAAGTATAGGTGGAAGCCCTGGAATGGGAGACTTGAAAGAGATGTAGTTAGCACTTTCAGTGGCCTGATTCAGAAAACTGGATTATTGCCAGGACTGTGGAACCCAACACACATTCAAAGTTATACTGTTGGCCACCATCTTTGAGCTGGGCACAATTGTTTCCAACTCTGCCTGGAAGGAGATTTGATTGGTATGCGATGCACATGTAATCCTTGTTTCTATGAGGGAGAGATTAAGTTTCTAGCGGGACATTGATACATAATTTTTCCCCATTTTGGTTATTGTTCCAGTACACCCAAATTTTACAACTTTGAGTCTGATCCGTTTTCACTTTGCTGGTGATGACTGAACCAGGAAGAACTGGTTTGAAGCCCTGGAAAGAACATAATATTCTCCCTGCCAGGCAATTTGCAGCAGGGCCAGACAGCCATTACACTTAACTGAGGCCTCCAAATTCACTTAGATTCGTGCAAATTAATGCCTGATTTAAATCGTGTATGTCACATCGTACATTCCACCTTATCACCAAGATGCATGTGATACAGGGAGGTTACCATGAAGGTACTACTCCAAAAGTTGGGTCCAGCCTCCACATTTAAAGATGAAAGAAAAAGCTTGGATGTGTTCTAAGCTACAAAATACAGCAATTT